TACACCGGCATGAACAGCTGACCAAATAAGTTCCTTTCCATGTTATTTGTTGTCACTGTAATGACATTCAATCACAATTCAAATCAAATCAAATCAAATTTTATTGGTCACATGCGCCGAATACAACAGGTGCAGACATTGCAGTGAAATGCTTACTTACAGCCCTTAACCAACAGTGCATTTATTTTAAACAAAAAAAGTAAGAATAAAACAACAACAACAAAAAAGTGTTGAGAAAAAAAGAGCAGAAGTAAAATAAAGTGACAGTAGGGAGGCTATATATACAGTAAAATAAAGTGACAGTAGGGAGGCTATATATACAGGGGGGTACCGTTGCAGAGTCAATGTGCGGGGGCACCGGCTAGTTGAGGTAGTTGAGGTAATATGTACATGTGGGTAGAGTTAAAGTGACTATGCATAAATACTTAACAGAGTAGCAGCAGCGTAAAAAGGATGGGGTGGGGGGGCAGTGCAAATAGTCCGGGTAGCCATGATTAGCTGTTCAGGAGTCTTATGGCTTGGGGGTAGAAGCTGTTGAGAAGTCTTTTGGACCTAGACTTGGCACTCCGGTACCGCTTGCCGTGCGGTAGCAGAGAGAACAGTCTATGACTAGGGTGGCTGGAGTCTTTGACAATTTTGAGGGCCTTCCTCTGACACCGCCTGGTATAGAGGTCCTGGATGGCAGGGAGCTTTGCCCCAGTGATGTACTGGGCCGTACGCACTACCCTCTGTAGTGCCTTGCGGTCAGAGGCCAAGCAGTTGCCATACCAGGCGGTGATGCAACCAGTCAGGATGCTCTCGATGGTGCAGCTGTAGAATTTTTTGAGGATCTGAGGACCCATGCCAAATCTTTTTAGTCTCCTGAGGGGGAATAGGCTTTGTCGTGCCCTCTTCACGACTGTCTTGGTGTGTTTGGACCATGATAGTTCGTTGGTGATGTGGACACCAAGGAACTTGAAGCTCTCAACCTGTTCCACTACAGCCCCGTCGATGAGAATGGGGGCGTGCTCAGTCCTTTTTTTTTTCCTGTAGTCCACAATCATCTCCTTTGTCTTGGTCACGTTGAGGGAGAGGTTGTTGTCCTGGCACCACACGGCCAGATCTCTGACCTCCTCCCTATAGGCTGTCTCATCGTTGTCGGTGATCAGGCCTACCACTGTTGTGTCGTCGGCAAACTTAATGATGGTGTTGGAGTCGTGCCTGGCCATGCAGTCATGGGTGAACAGAGAGTACAGGAGGGGACTGAGCACGCACCCCTGAGGGGCCCCCGTGTTGAGGATCAGTGTGGCAGATGTGTTGTTACCTACCCTTACCACCTGGGGGCGGCCCGTCAGGAAGTCCAGGATCCAGTTGCAGAGGGAGGTGTTTAGTCCCAGGATCCTTAGCTTAGTGATGAGCTTAGAGGGCACTATGGTGTTGAATGCTGAGCTGTAGTCAATGAATAGCATTCTCACGTAGGTGTTCCTCTTGTCCAGGTGGGAAAGGGCAGTGTGGAGTGCGATAGAGATTGCATCATCTGTGGATCTGTTGGGGCGGTATGCAAATTGGAGTGGGTCTAGGGTTTCTGGGATTATGCTGTTGATGTGAGCCATGACCAGTCTTTCAAAGCACTTCATGGCTACAGACGTCAGTGCTACGGGTCGGTAGTCATTTAGGCAGGTTATCTTAGAGTTCTTGGGCACGGGGACTATGGTGGTCTGCTTGAAACATGTTGGTATTACAGACTCAGTCAGGGACATGTTGAAAATGTCAGTGAAGACACTTGCCAGTTGGTCAGCACATGCTCGGAGTACACGTCCTGGTACAATTGAGTTACTCTATATGACCTTTTATAGAAGTTGCTGCTAATTAGCCTGCAGTTTGCTACGTCATGCTAAGCTAGTTAAGTTATTAGCCTACATTTGGTACCTGAGTTAAATTATGTTCACAACTCAATCAAGTCTAAATCAAATCTTGCTGAAAAAAACAGCATATACTAGAATGGTCTGCAGACCAGCCTCCGTTGTGTTTTCACTGGAGACCAGCCTTTGTTGTGTTTTCACTGGAGACCAGCCTTCGTTGTGTTTTCACTGGAGACCAGCCTTCGTTGTGTTTTCACTGGAGACCAGCCTTCGTTGTGTATTCACTGGAGACCAGCCTTCGTTGTGTTTTCACTGGAGACCAGCCTTCGTTGTGTTTTGGACACATAAGCCTATGCTGGTCACCCACAAAACCAGCATCATCATGTCATATTATGCTGGCTTACAAAGTTATGTCTAATTCCTATTGTAATCCAGCCTGACTGGGGATATTTAAAAAATTGGAACTTATATTCACCCACGATCTGCATTCAGAATGACTGCCAGGGTTAGAAAAATTAATGAATGAGACTACCTAAACCATCTAAACTGGAATAACCATTTCAGTAACGGGTGCAATAAATCCAACAGATTAGATTTGTTTAGAAAAATGTATGCTATTTATCTTTGTGTACCATGAAAGGTGAAATAAATACAATTGTGTAAATGTCTAGTAGTTATCTCTCTATTTTTTTAAAGCCCTGGATAGCCTACAGACACTATAAACAGGGTCCCTTGTGGGACCACAATTGCTTTGCAGCACGTTCAGGATTTATTTAGGAATAAACTAGATATCCTAAATAGTGTTTTGTTTGCATTGGCTCATATGGGCTATATAGCACTAACTCAGCCAGCCAGAAGTGCCTGTGGGTGAGGATGGGGGAGAGTGAGTGATCAATTGTCATCCAATAGAGAGGTTTTATCTGAGCAGGGGTTCAAAATCACCAGTAAAATAGAAAAAAATGATTTATTAAAAAAGCTCTAAAAATGCCATAAATCCAGCTCAGGTCTACACAATATTTGCAGGGTAACGTCCATGAATGTGTGGTAGCGTTAGCCAGCCCTAAGCCAGATAACATTATCATAACAACAACATGTTATGGGGCAGAGAGAAAAAGTTGCAGTTTTATAGCTAATCTCACGCTATTTTACACACTTTGCCATGAGGCTGAGAGAAAATGTTGCTGTTTTAGAGCTAATTTCCTGCTATTCTAACACATTTTGCCATGAGGCTGAGAGAAAATGTTGCAGTTTTAAAGCTAATTTCCTGTATAAAATAAATACATAATTTTCATGGTTTATGATGTGTTTGTTACAGGTCCCAGGATTGAGACCAGGAAAACAGATAATACTGTATGTTTCCTGTAAAACAGGAGAAATGATGAGACAAGAGAAAGTTGGTTGCTTTCAGGAAAAGATATCTCAGTAGAATTTAATAAACATATTTTTTCCAAAAGTGTCAAGGGTCAATTATCTGGTTCATTACAATTGCTTTGTAGAAAAATATAAATTTACTATTGTCATTATCAATAGAAAAATATCTACATTCAAAAATATCTACATTCACATACTTTTATATCCTATGTTCAGTCTCTTTAACAGTACATATAGCTATTGCTATTCAATTAATTAGTATCTGTACCAAAATAAAGGCTATCTACTATCTAGCATGTAAAACCATCCAATTGTATGTATGTTTGTCCAACACATCTCAACAGATTACCCACTATAGTAGTGTAAACATAAATGTTACCCAATGCTACACAATCGTTGCTCAAAATGTTGTTTGGCTAATACTTGGCGCCTCCCCCAAAAAAATGGGCCGGGGTGTTTGAAATGCCAGGGTCGATTTCTGATCCCAGACTGCCCCTTCCTACAATCATAAAGGAATACAGTAAGCCGTTTTCAATGAGTCTGTAGTACTTTTATCAGCCACAGGAGGTCACCTTAGATTTGATTCTTAGCATGACACTGTACTACCACAGATGATTAGGGGAACTGCATGACTGAATTCTAGTGTCATTTCTTTAGCTCCTGATAGTTGCACTTATGGACAGATCTAGTATCAGCTTACTTAGTTAGGGGTTAAATGCAACTGACCTTTATTGTAGGCTACATATGCACATTGAGCGTGGGAAATGCGCTCTACAAATTGCATATAATATTATTATTATTATTATTACATCATGGCTAACTATCCAGTCACGGTAATGTTGTAATTTCTTTCTTTAAATAAAAAAAGGAAACGGAAATGACTAAAGATAGGCCAACCGAAAAAAGACTTAATGTTACCTACAATGTTGATGTCACATGTCTTACTCGTGGAGAAATACAAACCAGCAACAGATGCCAACACTTGCAATATATTAGATGATGAGTCACTTCTCTTTCACGTTTCTCTTGCCCTTTGGAAAAATACAGAATTCTCAAATTCTATATTGGAAATATTCCATAGGAAATATATTGCCCTAATAAAATAGCATAAATCGTTAAACTCTTCTAACGTGTAAAATATAGGCATGAATGTAAAGAAGCAAGCACGTATCCTCACTCCACAGTCATCATAGCTCTTCACTTTCTCCACTCTCCATTTAAAAACTACACAAGCAAACGCTCTGACGCAGTGAGACCGTGGACTTGCGATAACAGGCGGAGAAAGATTGGGCAACTTGATTCTTCTAGACTCTTTACTGTAACCAGCCAGTGTTCTTCCATGACGCCCAGGCAACCCGCCAGAAACAAGGATGGCCTAACCTAGCCCACGGGGCGCGGCGTCACCATGTTAAAGAAATTCTTGGTCTATAAAGGAGACATTCTGGTTTATCTCCAAACATTATACATTTTTAGGTGGAAGAACGGAGCTGGTAGAGACCAATCAATTATACCATAAATGAACAATGGCGCCGACGAATGAGAGACATATGAACGGTATGTGGACTGCTATTTCACTTATTCCTGCATTATTACATGTTCATTAGGCTAATGCATGAGCATTTAATGGTATTGCAAATATATATTGACTATAATTAGTTATATCGTGAATTCAAATGTTTACTGTTCTCTCAAAATCAAAATAAAAGATGTGCAAATTTTTACTGTGTTTTGCTGGAGAATAAAAGTTGTCACAATGCCTTTAGAATGGACTTACGTCAGTGTACTATAATGTCACCCAGAGCCCTCTATCTGGTCGGGTCAGGTGTTACCTGTTCACGCGCTGCTCAGCGCCCAGTTCTCCTGAAGATGGGCAGTGGGGAAAGCCGCCCTGGCAAGGTGTCTCTCTGCGGAGGTATTGAATAGAATAGACCTTTGCAAAATAAGTAGATACAATTTACACTTAATTGTTTGAAATGCGTGAAAAAAAAGAAAAAAAGAATTATATATATATATATATATATATATATATATATATATATATATATAGTAGCCTAACTTGCTATGTTGGGGAAAGAAAGAAAGACAGATAAATAAAGACCCGGTCTGTCACAGAACTCATAGTAAGATAGCGGGAACCAACTGTGCGCAGGAGCTGCAAGGTGCGCCACTAGTGCAGTAGCTACCTGTCTCATGCAGGCATGGTTCCATGATGCAGGTTATTGGACAGCGTCTGTAGTCTCTGACCTAACAGCCAATATGTTGAACGATTGTATCAATTTCAATGTTGGAATTTTTAATTGCGTATAGACTAAATATCAGCTGAAACAAAACATGCCACCTATTTTTGGATTCATTGCGTTATTCTTAACTGTAAATGCTAACAAAATGGCTGATTACTAAAGTTTAGGATTGATGAAATCTGCTACATGATGAAAATGCCCCAATACAATTGCCTACATGCAGTAGGCTATAAAGAGTATTAAGTGGATGACAGTTATCCTGTCTGTCAATAGGTTACATGCAGTAGGTTATAAAGAGTATTAAGTGGATGACAGTTATCCTGTCTGTCAATAGGTTACATGCAGTAGGTTATAAAGAGTATTAAGTGGATGACAGTTATCCTGTCTGTCAATAGGCTACATGCAGTAGGTTATAAAGAGTATCAAGTGGATGACAGTTATCCTGTCTGTCATTATTGTCTGGGTGTGGCCCGAATGGCACCTTATTCACCATATAGTGCACTACTTTAGACCAGTTCCATTTGAATTGCAGCCCCAGTCAGTGGTCAGTCAAGAACGAGCGGTTGACATTTTTGAACACCCTTAGCCAACCCGAGACGCCAATATATAAGGGTAAGCTTACAGAATGCGTCACAGCTGAAATAAGGGTTGAGTTACAGGTTGCTTCCCAAATGGCACCATATTCCATATGTAGTGCACTAATGACCAGAGCCCATGTTCAAAAGTTGTGCACAAGAATAGGGTGCCATTTGGGACGCATCTACAGTAGCAGTGTTACAGCTGCATTAGAGGGCTATCTACAGTAGCAGTGTTACAGCTGCATTATAGGGCTATCTACAGTAGCACTGTTACAGCTGTATTAGAGGGCTATCTACAGTAGAAGTGTTACAGCTGTATTAGAGGGATATCTACAGTAGCAGTGTTACAGCTGTATTAGAGGGCTATCTACAGTATCAGTGTTACAGCTGTATTAGAGGGCTATCTACAGTAGCAGTGTTACAGCTGTATTAGAGGCTATCTACAGTAGAGTGTTACAGCTGTATTAGAGGCTATCTACAGTAACAGTGTTACAGCTGTATTAGAGGGCTATCTACAGTATCAGTGGTACAGCTGTTTTAGAGGGCTATCTACAGTAGCAGTGTTACAGCTGTATTAGAGGGCTATCTACAGTAGCAGTGTTACAGCTGTATTAGAGGGCTATCTACAGTAGCAGTGTTACAGCTGTATTAGAGGGCTATCTACAGTAGCAGTGTTACAGCTGTATTAGAGGACCATCTACAGTAGCAGTGTTACAGCTGTATTAGAGGACTATCTACAGTAGCAGTGTTACAGCTTATTAGAGGGCTATCTACAGTAGCAGTGTTACAGCTGTATTAGAGGGCAAACTACAGTAGCAGTGTTACAGCTGTATTAGAGGGCTATCTACAGTAGCAGTGTTACAGCTGTATTAGAGGGCTATCTACAGTAGCAGTGTTACAGCTGTATTAGAGGGCTATCTACAGTAGAAGTGTTACAGCTGTATTAGAGGACCATCTACAGTAACAGTGTTAAGGCTGTATTAGAGGACTATCTACAGTAGCAGTGTTACAGCTGTATTAGAGGGCTATCTACAGTAGCAGTGTTACAGCTGTATTAGAGGACCATCTACAGTAGCAGTGTTACAGCTGTATTAGAGGACCATCTACAGTAACAGTGTTACAGCTGTATTAGAGGACTATCTACAGTAGAAGTGTTACAGCTGTATTAGAGGACCATCTACAGTAGCAGTGTTACAGCTGTATTAGAGGGCTATCTACAGTAGCAGTGTTACAACTGTATTAGAGGTGGCAATCTGACTATGATACGAGTCTGACACTGATGATATCTTGGCAATATAAGAAGTGTGATGTAAGCACATCGTCATGTATGATCAGAGACTCAACTGAGAGGGAAAAGTACTATCTTCTATGACTAAGACAGGTTTACAGGAAACAGTACAGACACCTGTTTAGTCCTAAACCTCTATGTTCTTGTGCTTTCTTGCCAACTCCTATTTCCCTGTCTCGATTGGCATGACAACAACCATAGGTGTTGGCAAGACATCACAAACGTGATCTGGATCTTCAACCAGGCTAATATGGGACCAGATCTGGAACCAGGCTAATATGGGAGTAGATCTGGAACCAGGCTAATATGGGAGTAGATCTGGAACCAGGCTAATATGGGACCAGATCTGGAACCAGTCTAATATGGAAGTAGATCTGGAACCAGTCTAATATGGGAGTAGATCTGGAACCAGGCTAATATGGGACCAGATCTGGAACCAGGCTAATATGGGAGTAGATCTGGAACCAGGCTAATATGGGAGTAGATCTGGAACCAGGCTAATATGGGAGTAGATCTGGAACCAGGCTAATATGGGAGTAGATCTGGAACCAGGCTAATTTGGGACCAGATCTGGAAGCAGGCTAATATGGGACCAGATCTATAACCAGGCTAATATGGGAGTAGATCTGGAACCAGGCTAATATGGGACCAGATCTGGAACCAGGCTAATATGGGACCAGATCTGGAACCAGGTTAATATGGGACCAGATCTGGAACCAGGCTAATATGGGACCAGATCTGGAACCAGGCTAATATGGGACCAGATCTGGAACCAGGCTAATAAGGGACCAGATCTGGAACCAGGCTAATATGGGACCAGATCTGGAACCAGGCTAATATGGGACCAGATCTGGAACCAGGCTAACATGGGACCAGATCTGGAACCAGGCTAATATGGGACCAGATCTGGAACCAGGCTAATTTGGGACCAGATCTGGAACCAGGTTAATATGGGACCAGATCTGGAACCAGGCTAATATGGGACCAGATCTGGAACCAGGTTAATATGGGACCAGATCTGGAACCAGGCTAATATGGGACCAGATCTGGAACCAGGCTAATATGAGACCAGATCTGGAACCAGGTTAATATGGGACCAGATCTGGAACCAAGCTAAGTTGGGACCAGATCTGGAACCAGGCCAATTTGGGACCAGATCTGGAACCAGGCTAATATGGGACGAGTTCTGGAACCAGGTTAATATGGGACCAGATCTGGAACCAAGCTAAGTTGGGACCAGATCTGGAACCAGGCCAATTTGGGACCAGATCTGGAACCAGGCTAATATGGGACCAGATCTGGAACCAGGCTAATATGGGACCAGATCTGTAACCAGGCTAATATGGGACCAGATCTGGAACCAGGCTAATATGGGACTAGATCTGGGACCAGGCTAATTTGGGACCAGATCTGGAACCAGGTTAATATGGGACCAGATCTGGAACCAGGCTAATATGGGACCAGATCTGTAACCAGGCTAATATGGGACCAGATCTGGAACCAGGCTAATATGGGACCAGATCTGGGACCAGGCTAATTTGGGACCAGATCTGGAACCAGGTTAATATGGGACCAGATCTGGAACCAGGCTAATATGGGACCAGATCTGGAACCAGGTTAATATGGGACCAGATCTGGAACCAGGCTAATATGGGACCAGATCTGGAACCAGGCTAATATGGGACCAGATCTGGAACCAGGTTAATATGGGACCAGATCTGGAACCAAGCTAAGTTGGGACCAGATCTGGAACCAGGCCAATTTGGGACCAGATCTGGAACCAGGCTAATATGGGACGAGTTCTGGAACCAGGTTAATATGGGACCAGATCTGGAACCAAGCTAAGTTGGGACCAGATCTGGAACCAGGCCAATTTGGGACCAGATCTGGAACCAGGCTAATATGGGACCAGATCTGGAACCAGGCTAATATGGGACCAGATCTGGAACCAGGCTAATATGGGACCAGATCTGGAACCAAGCTAATATGGGACCAGATCTGGAACCAGCCATCTAACCTGTTGATATCTATCACTTTCTCTGACCCAGAGGCCCCTTTAGTCTGCGATGAAGTGCATTCAAGAAGAACTCTTGACAAAGTATTGACTGACACCATTTCACCTCGATCACACTGACAGCGTCAATGCGCAAAATGGTACGCAGCATCATCTGGAACATTCACATTCTACTACCATTTCTGTCAAGTCATCTACACATACCATTTTTGATGCATATGTTCGATAAATCCAACGTATGCACCACACAGAACGTACTGCAACTGCCTCTGCAACGCAATGCTGCAAGACAAACGTAGCGTTCCATTTTGAAATTAATGTGCTTCTGGTGTACCAAAACGCAATGATGCTATCGTTGTGATCGAGGCGTTAGCCTACCAGAACTTTCACTATCAGTTGTGAAAGAACATGGAATTATTCATGTACCTGTTCAAATGTGTTCAACATCTTACTGTGCATTTAAAAAACAGCTCTTGACAAACTGTCTGTCAACTGTTCTTGACAATGTATTGACACCACCAGAGACCAGCAGAACTTTATTATCTGCTACATTCTCTGACCCAGAGAGCCCTAGTCAGCTGTAGTCTGTCTATGACTGTACCGTATGTACCTGTTCAAGTGTGTTGTCCAATCAAGTGCTTTTTATCACCAGCTGTTGACAAAGTATTGACACTACCATGAACTGTTGAACCACCAGAGACTCCTAGTAAGGCCCCAGCAAGAGAGACCACCAGAACCATTTATGAACTGAGCTGTAAACTCTTTCTGACCCTCTATCTGATCCTCAGAGACCTCTAGTATTGACATTACTGTCTGTTCTCTCCTACCCCCAGAGACCTCTAGTATTGACAATACTGTCTGTTCTCTTCTACCCCCAGAGACCTCTAGTATTGACATTACTGTCTGTTCTCTTCTACCCCCAGAGACCTCTAGTATTGACATTACTGTCTGTTCTCTTCTACCCCCAGAGACCTCTGGTATTGACATTACTGTCTGTTCTCTCCTACCCCCAGAGACCTCTGGTATTGACATTACTGTCTGTTCTCTCCTACCCCCAGAGACCTCTAGTATTGACATTACTGTCTGTTCTCTCCTACCACCAGAGACCTCTAGTATTGACATTACTGTCTGTTCTCTCCTACCCCCAGAGACCTCTGGTATTGACATTACTGTCTGTTCTCTCCTACCCCCAGAGACCTCTGGTATTGACATTACTGTCTGTTCTCTCCTACCCCCAGAGACCTCTAGTATTGACATTACTGTCTGTTCTCTCCTACCCCCAGAGACCTCTGGTATTGACATTACTGTCTGTTCTCTCCTACCCCCAGAGACCTCTGGTATTGACATTACTGTCTGTTCTCTCCTACCCCCAGACACCTCTAGTATTGACATTACTGTCTGTTCTCTCCTACCCCCAGAGACCTCTGGTATTGACATTACTGTCTGTTCTCTCCTACCCCCAGAGACCTCTAGTATTGACATTACTGTCTGTTCTCTCCTACCCCCAGAGACCTCTAGTATTGACATTACTGTCTGTTCTCTCCTACCCCCAGACACCTCTAGTAAGGCCCCAGCGAGCCCTGCGGAGCCCAAGGGGAAGCGGCCCCCAGTGCTTGTGGATGGGGTGACTCTGAACGGACCCACGCTGGACATCCGGGAAGCAGAGAGCTTCCTCAGAGACGCCATGCCCATCATCATGGAGGAGGCCATCTGGAAGGCGACTGACGTCAAGGAGAAGGTAAAGATCTCTTTTCCAATTCTTTCGCACACCATGCACTTCCAGCCCCAGGATGCATAAAGGAAAATTAGATCTGTTGTGAAGTATACCAGAATATCTGTATGCTGGAGTTTCTTTTTCAAACAATAGGAAATGGACCTGTATAAGTGTTTATCAGGTAAATGGCTACCCGGACTATTTGCATTGACGTTGCTGCTACTTGCTGTTTATTATCTATGCATAGTCACTTTAACCCTACCTACATGTACATATTACCTCATTTACCTGGACTAACCTGTACCCCGCACATTGGCTCGGTACTGGTACCCCTGTATATAGCCTCGTTATTGTTACTTTATTGTTGCTCCTTTATTTTTTACTTTAGTTTATTTAGTAAATATTTTCTTAACTCTTATTTTTCTTAAAACTCCATTGTTGGTTAAAGGCTTGTAAGTAAGCATTTCACGGTAAGGTCTACACCTGTTGTATTCTGCGCATGTGACAAGTAAAATTTGATTTGATTTATATACTGTACATGTTCTTTATGGATGGTGAATAGGCCCAGGTAGTTTGTCTGACGTCAAGGATAAGGTAACTAGCTGTCACGCCCTGACTCAAGGGACTCGTATATGTTGAGTCAGGGTGTGTATGTTCTATGTTGTATATTTCTATGTTGATGTTCTAGTATGTCTATTTCTATGTTGGCCGGTGTGGATCCCAATCAGAGGCAGCTGTCGCTCGTTGTCTCTGATTGGGGACCATACTTAGGCAGCCTTTTGGCACTAGTTAGTTGTGGGATCTTGTTCTGTGTGAGGTATGTTGTTTGTCTACCTTGGACTTCACGTTTCGTTTCATTTGTTGTTTTGTCGCTTGTTTATTCAGAATAAATAAACATGAATGCATATCACGCTGCGCCTTGGTCCTTCTCGTTCGTCAACGATCGTGACAGAAGATCCCACCAAACGAGGACCAAGCAGCGTGTCCAGGAGCAGACAGCCTGGACCTGGGAGGAGATCCTGGACGGTAAGGGATCTTCAAGCCAGTGGTACGCGTCGCCAGCCCGGTCCGGCCTGTTCCTGTCCCTCGCACCAAGCCAGTGGTGCGCGTCGCCAGCCCGGCCCGGCCTGTTCCTGCCCCTCGCACCAAGCCAGTGGTGCGCGTCGCCAGCCCGGTCCGGCCTGTTCCTGCCCCTCGCACCAAGCCAGTGGTGCGCGTCGCCAGTCCGGCCCGTCCTGTTCCTGCACCTCGCACCAAGCCAGTGGTGCGCGTCGCCAGCCCGGCCCGGCCTGTTCCTGCCCCTCGCACCAAGCCAGTGGTGCGCGTCGCCGGCCCGGCCCGGCCTGTTCCTGCTCCTCGCACCAAGCCAGTGGTGTGTGTGTCCAGTCCGGCACGGCCCGTGCCTGTTCCACCGGTGCCTGGTCCGGCACCGGTCAGCTGCTCCACTCCGGATCCAGAGCAGTCCGCTCCACCGGTGCCCAGTTCAGCTCCGGTCAGCTGCTCCACTCCGGAGCCAGAGCAATCCGCTCCACCGGGGTCCAGTCCAGCTCCGGTCAGCGGCTCCACTCCGGAGCCAGAGCAGTCCGCTCCACCGGTGCCTGATCCAGCTCCGGTCAGCGGCTCCACTCCGGAGCCAGAGCAGTTCGCTCCACCGTCGTCGGGTCCAGCTCCAGTCAGCGGCTCCAGTTCAGACCCAGACATCAGCCCCTCTCCAGGTTCGGGGTCTCCCACACCAGGGTCCAGACAGGGCTTGGTACTTCGTGGGAGGAAGGCGAGGGGAAGCAGCGCGCCGAGGTCCAGACCAGACCAGGGGCGCAACAGGGAGGCGGAGAGTAAGTGGTCGTCACGCCTTGAGCCGGATCCGCCTCCGAGGCGGAATGCCCACCCGGCCCCTACCCTGTTATGTTTATGTGGCGCGGTCGGAGTCCGCACCTTTGGGGGGGGGTACTGTCACGCCCTGACTCAAGAGACTCGTATATGTTGAGTCAGGGTGTGTATGTTCTATGTTGTATATTTCTATGTTGATGTTCTAGTATGTCTATTTCTATGTTGGCCGGTGTGGATCCCAATCAGAGGCAGCTGTCGCTCGTTGTCTCTGATTGGGGACCATACTTAGGCAGCCTTTTGGCACTAGTTAGTTGTGGGATCTTGTTCCGTGTGAGGTATGTTGTTTGTCTACCTTGGACTTCACGTTTCGTTTCATTTGTTGTTTTGTCGCTTGTTTATTCAGAATAAATAAACATGAATGCATATCACGCTGCGCCTTGGTCCTTCTCGTTCGTCAACGATCGTGACAGAAGATCCCACCAAATGAGGACCAAGCAGCGTGTCCAGGAGCAGACAGCCTGGACCTGGGAGGAGATCCTGGACGGTAAGGGATCTTCAAGCCAGTGGTGCGCGTCGCCAGCCCGGTCCGGCCTGTTCCTGTCCCTCGCACCAAGCCAGTGGTGCGCGTTGCCAGCCCGGCCCGGCCTGTTCCTGCCCCTCGCACCAAGCCAGTGGTGCGCGTCGCCAGCCCGGTCCGGCCTGTTCCTGCCCCTCGCACCAAGCCAGTGGTGCGCGTCGCCAGTCCGGCCCGTCCTGTTCCTGCTCCTCGCACCAAGCCAGTGGTGCGCGTCGCCAGCCCGGCCCGGCCTGTTCCTGCCCCTCGCACCAAGCCAGTGGTGCGCGTCGCCAGTCCGGCCCGTCCTGTTCCTGCTCCTCGCACCAAGCCAGTGGTGCGCGTCGCCAGCCCGGCCCGGCCTGTTCCTGCCCCTCGCACCAAGCCAGTGGTGCGCGTCGCCAGCCCGGCCCGGCCTGTTCCTGCCCCTCGCACCAAGCCAGTGGTGTGTGTGTCCAGTCCGGCCCGTGCCTGTTCCACCGGTGCCTGGTCCGGCACCGGTCAGCTGCTCCACTCCGGATCCAGAGCAGTCCGCTCCACCGGTGCCCAGTTCAGCTCCGGTTAGCTGCTCCACTCCGGAGCCAGAGCAATCCGCTCCACCGGGGTCCAGTCCAGCTCCGGTCAGCGGCTCCACTCCGGAGCCAGAGCAGTCCGCTCCACCGGTGCCTGATCCAGCTCCGGTCAGCGGCTCCACTCCGGAGCCAGAGCAGTTCGCTCCACCGTCGTCGGGTCCAGCTCCAGTCAGCGGCTCCAGTTCAGACCCAGACGTCAGCGCCTCTCCAGGTTCGGGGTCTCCCACACCAGGGTCCAGACAGGGCTTGGTACTTCGTGGGAGGAAGGCGAGGGGAAGCAGCGTGCCGAGGTCCAGACCAGACCAGGGGCGCAACAGGGAGGCGGAGAGTAAGTGGTCGTCACGCCCTGAGCTGGATCTGCCTCCGAGGCGGAATGCCCACCCGGCCCCTACCCTGTTATGTTTATGTGGCGCGGTCGGAGTCCGCACCTTTGGGGGGGGGTACTGTCACGCCCTGACTCAAGAGACTCGTATATGTTGAGTCAGGGTGTGTATGTTCTATGTTGTATATTTCTATGTTGATGTTCTAGTATGTCTATTTCTATGTTGGCCGGTGTGGATCCCAATCAGAGGCAGCTGTCGCTCGTTGTCTCTGATTGGGGACCATACTTAGGCAGCCTTTTGGCACTAGTTAGTTGTGGGATCTTGTTCCGTGTGAGGTATGTTGTTTGTCTACCTTGGACTTCACGTTTCGTTTCATTTGTTGTTTTGTCGCTTGTTTATTCAGTATAAATAAACATGAATGCATATCACGCTGCGCCTTGGTCCTTCTCGTTCGTCAACGATCGTGACACTAGCTAGCCAGTTAGCCCTATTGACTTACTATGGGCTTGCGATCTCCACACTACAGTGGGTATTGTAGGTAGGTAAACATGCCAAAATTAATACAGCATGTATTCATTAAACGTAACAAGATAAAATATTGTAGTCAGGCAACATATGAGATGTGAATAGGCAACATTTCATTCCAAAGTCGGAGTGTATTTTCTCTCGCTTCAGCTCAGATAATGGCCGCCATTGATTTCAAGTAATGTTGCGTAATTTTTAACGTGGTTGCATCATATTTCTGTGGATACTTTCCATTGAAGCTTGCATCAATGCATGCTTCTAAATATGTACAAACGGAGTACGCATTCGAGAAGTGCCCTCCGTGCTCCGTTTTACAAACTTTGATTTGGACTCATACTCCGACCCTCCCGTGCGCTAATTTGCGTGCTCGGAGCATGGTGGTATGCATTTTGGGAAACACCCAAAGTCTATTTCCTTCTCTCCCATATAACAGGTGTGCGAGTGGCGTTCTCCGGAGCAGCTGAAGGACCTATTAGACCTGGAGCTGAGGGAAGGAGGCGAGGCACACCCCCAGATACTGCAGCGCTGTCGGGATGCCATCCGATACAGTGTCAAGACCGGTAAGGACCCAGCTCAACCCTGACTTAAACTCTAACCCCCAGACCTCAGCCAAACCCTGACTCAAAACCCCCATCCAAACCCTGACTTTCAAAACCCTGACTCTTTAAAAGATACCACTGAACTTCATCCCTAACCCTCTAACTCTCCAGCCCAGAGTCTCTCTCTCGCCATACGATACAGTGTCAAGACTGGTAGGAAACAGCTCAACCCTAACCCCCATGCAGCCAATCCCTAACCTTCAAAACCCCCAGCCAAACCACAAATTTAAAACCCCTGTCAACCAGGTCTGTCAACCAACTAACCTTCAAACTCTCCAGCCCAGACTCCCTCAACCCTCCCAGTCAGCTACCATTACATAATTAACTAGCTAGACCCTAGTTAGCCACCCTCACTGTACTGCACTCACGCTAGCTACTGGATAATACAGGCTATAGCCATATCATGGGCTTTATAGGCCCTAATGTAGCTACATGGTAGGTTACAGTTAGCTAACCCATTAGGGTAGGGTTACAGTTCGGACCACCATTAGGTAGTTACAATGTAGCTACCTTAGGTAGGGTTCAAGTTGCTCATTGGGTAGGGTTACAGTTAGCTACCATTAAGGTAGGTAAAGTTACTACATTAGGGTAGGTTAAAGTAGCTACAGTAGGTTAAGTTAGCTACCATTAGGGTAGGTTTAATATTAGCTACCATTAGGGTAGGGTTAATGTTAGCTACCATTAGGGTAGGGTTACAGTTAGCTACCATTAGGGTATGGTTAATGTTAGCTACCATTAGGGTAGGGTTACTGTACTAAATGACCCTTACAGTCATGTGTGCATACATTTTACATATGGGTGGCCCTGGGAATCGAACCCACAATCCTCCCAATCAAACTCTCCAGCCCAGACTCCCTCAACCCTCCCAGTCAGCTACCATTACATAATTAACTAGCTAGACCCTAGTTAGCCACCCTCACTGTACTGCACTCACGCTAGCTACTGGATAATACAGGCTATAGCCATATCATGGCTAACTAGGCCCTAATGTTAGCTACCAATAGGGTAGGGTTACAGTTAGCTACCATTAGGGTAGGGTTAATGTTAGCTACCATTAGGGTAGGGTTAATGTTAGCTACCATTAGGGTAGGGTTAAAGTTAGCTACCATTAGGGTAGGGTTAAAGTTAGCTACCATTAGGGTAGGGTTAAAGTTAGCTACCAGTAGGGTTAAAGTTAGCTACCATTAAGGTAGGGTTAAAGTTAGCTACCATTAAGGTAGGGTTAAAGTTAGCTACCATTAGGGTAGGGTTAAAGTTAGCTACCATTAGGGTAGGGTTAAAGTTAGCTAACATTAGGGTAGGGTTAATGTTAGCTACCATTAGGGTAGGGTTACTGTACTAAATGACCCTTACAGTCATGCGTGCATACATTTTACATATGGGTGGCCCTGGGAATCGAACCCACAATCCTGCCGTTGGAAAGCACCATGCTCTACCAACTGTACTCACGCTAGCTACACTAACCGATATCCTATCCAAGCTAGGTTGTAAACCATCAAGCTAGCGACAGTAGCTCCCACCCTTCCCCCAGCGCTGTCCTATCCAAGCTAGGTTGTAAACCATCAAGCTAGCGACAGTAGCTCCCACCCTTCCCCTAGCGCTGTCCTATCCAAGCTAGGTTGTAAACCATCAAGCTAGCGACAGCAGCTCCCACCCTTCCCCCAGCGCTGTCCTATCCAAGCTAGGATGTAAACCATCAAGCTAGCGACAGTAGCCCATCCTTAATAACCCTCCCAGCCCCTTAAACCTCCCAGCCCTTGACATCTGAGCTGCTGTGTCCTGCACCCAGTGACCCCCACCTTGCCTGGTCCAGCCAGACCCCAAATACGATATGATGTACTTTATATAGAAACAGTGGCACAGCAAACAGGGCTAGCTGGCACACTCCGCGTCTCACGTATCAATTTATGTGTCAGAAATAGCAGTCGGTCGGGAATAGACTGAGAAATGTTGGTTAGTGCCAGTGGATGCAGCATAGTGCACGTTAAGCATCTCTGTTTACATATGTGACCGATAGGAGTTTGAATCCCAGGTTCTGCTGTGAATCCACAAGACTTTGCTAGCCTGTCGAGCTAAAGCCTTTACAGATGTACGATCTTAATTTGATCACTCTTTTGTTGCTGAGAATCATTCTGCACCGCAGAAATGCAGATGAGCTTCATGATTTACATAAATTCAGTGAAAACCCACACTAACACACGTTATATTAACATTATTCCACTTTTCATGTAGCCTAACTTTGGCTAGCTAAAAGCCTAACCACCGATCAAATCCTGTTGCTGCAGGCATATTTTGCTGCGACAATACTGGTCAAATGAAGATCTGACATCTGTAGGTTCTGATTAGGGTTGCAAAATTCCGGTAACTTTTCCAGAAATCCTGGTTGGAGTATCTGGATTTCTTGCTTATTCTCTCCTGATCCTGGGAATCTTCCGACCAGGATTTCTGAAAAACCTGGAAACTTTGGGAAAGTTACCAGAATTTTGCAACTCTACTTCTGATTGTATCAAACCATGTGTGTTTGTATGTGCAGGTCATCCTCACTTCTTCAACCAGCTCTATGCAGGCATGGACCCTTATTCACTAGTGGGCCGATTCATCACGGAAGCCATCAACCCCAGTCTGTGAGTATTACATCCTACCTACATTCTACCATACCATCCTACCATCTCATATGATCTGAGTGTCTGTCAACATGTACTCATACTCACTGTATAACTGTGCCAGACAAAGTGAGATCTCTTGAGATTTTGGATGTGGGTTTTATGATTACTGAAAAGATATCAATGACAACTATTCTGCTATTAATTTCAGAACTGTCTGCAGCTAGTTCTTGATTATTGATTGGATAGTAATTTGTCTAGCTCAGGTGAGTCCAGGTGAGTCATTGACTGGACGTGTTGTTTGGCTTGGCAGGTACACATACGAGGTGGCTCCTGTGTTCCTACTGACAGAGGAGGCGGTACTGAAGAAGATGATTGAGATCATTGGATGGCAGGAGGGAGGGGACGGCATCTTCAGCCCAGGTATGGAAACCACACAGACGGACTTCTTCTTCTTCTTCTTCTTCTTTTCTTCTTCTTCTTCGATTGTCTGTGTGTTCTCCAGGTGGCTCTGTGTCCAACATGTATGCTGTGAACGTGGCCAGGTACCACCACTGTCCTGATGTCAAGGAGCTGGGTCTGTCTGCCTTGCCTAGACTGGTCATGTTTACATCTCAGGAGGTAGACAGACACGCAAACACACACACACAAGGCAGGCCAACACCTGTTATTTTTATAACACCATACAAAGCGACCGTTATGCAGCATACCCTATGCTTAATGTGACAGGTTGATAATGTGAGGGTTTGAGTGTACATGATGTGAATCAGCACCTGTTGGTACCTTTCAAGAACATCTGAAAGAGTCAATATGCCTAGGTATTACATCTGCCAAATGATTCCATTCACAAGCACTACCCAGTCCTAGGCTGCTCCATTTCAGGAGTCTGTAGGTGTGACATCTACTCATAGTGGGTGTGGGTGTCTGCTCAGCTCTTGATGATAACGTATCACAACAACCACACAGCTATCAGGGAGTTTCTCAATTCCAGCTGTTGCTCTGAAAGCTATTGACTAAATGGCTTTATATTCCCTGTGTGTGTAGTAGTATAATCACCATGCATATTATAATCCATGTGTGTGTAGTAGTATAATCACCATACATATTATAATCCCTGTGTATGTAGTACTATAAACATGATACGTATTATAATCCCTGTGTGTGTAGTACTATAAACGCCATACGTATTATAATCCCTGTGTGTGTAGTAGTATAATTACCATACGTATTATAATCCCTGTATGTAGAACTATAAACACCATACGTATTATAATCCCTGTGTGTGTAGTACTATAAACACCATACGTATTATAATCCCTGTGTGTGTAGAACTATAAACACCATACGTATTATAATCCCTGTGTGTGTAGTACTATAAACACTATACGTATTATAATCCCTGTGTGTGTAGTACTATAAACACCATACGTATAATAATCCCTGTGTGTAGAACTATAAACACCATACGTTTTATAATCCCTGTGTGTGTAGTACTATAAACACCATACGTTTTATAATCCCTGTGTGTGTGTGTAGTACTATAAACACTGTACGTATTATAATCCCTGTGTGTGTGTAGTACTATAATCACCATATGTATTATAATCCCTGTGTGTATTACTATAATCATCATACGTATTATAATCCCTGTGTGTGTAGCACCTTATTCTGGATCCTGTCCAGACGGGTCATTTTGTGGATTAACCAGTTCTCCCTCAGTGACACTTTTCTCTCATTGCTATTTTCAGTGTCATTACTCTGTTGCCAAAGCAGCAGCTTTCCTGGGGATTGGCACCAACAATGTTTATGTGATCCCGTCAGATAAGAGGTATGCTGGTTACTGCTGGTTACTGCTGGTTACTGCTGGTTACTGCTGGTTACTGCTACAGTTACACGGTTACTGCTGGTTACTGCTACAGTTACACGGTTACTGCTGGTTACTGCTACAGTTACACGGTTACTGCTGGATACTGCTGGTTACTGCTACAGTTACATGGTTACTTCCACCGTCCACACCACACCAAACTACACGCTTCTGTTGTCACTGTTCACAATGACTGACCGGCGTCACTATGACGCCTGGCGCTTACTAATCCTTCTTCCTCTTTCTTTCTATGTTGTTGTTTCGCAGAGGGAAGATGATTCCAGCTGAGTTTGAGAAACAAGTACAGAGAGCCAAATATGAGGTGAGAAGGAGAACTATGAATGGAGTCAGCAGGGTTGTTTGGTGTCAGATATATTATGTAACATATTCTCTCCATATTATGGGAACTGCTGTTGAATATAGACATGGTTAGGGTTAGGGAATTGCTGTTGAATATAGACATGGTTAGGGTTAGGGAACTGCTGTTGAATATACCCATGGTAAGGGTTAAGGAACTGCTGTTGAATATACCCATGGTTAGGGGTAGGGAACTGCTGTTGAATATAACCATGGTTAGGGTTAGGGAACTGCTGTTGAATATACCCATGGTTAGGGTTAGGGAATTGCTGTTGAATATAGACATGGTTAGGGTTAGGGAACTGCTGTTGAATATACCCATGGTAAGGGTTAAGGAACTGCTGTTGAATATACCCATGGTTAGGGTTAGGGAACTGCTGTTGAATATAACCATGGTTAGGGTTAAGGAACTGCTGTTGAATATACCCATGGTTAGGGTTAGGGAACTGCTGTTGAATATACCCATGGTTAGGGTTAGGGAACTGCTGTTGAATATACCCATGGTTAGGGTTAGGGAACTACTGTTGAATATACTAATGGTTAAGGTTAGGGAACTACTGTTTAATATACCCATGGTTAGGGTTAGGGAACTGCTGTTGAATATACCCATGGTTAGGGTTAGGGTTATTTGGGTTTTAGAGTGACCCAAATATGTTGTGTGTAGTGGTAGTAACCATGGTGTTGTAGTAACATTATATTTTTGTCCTCTGATGATGGTGTGGAGTATTAATGCCTAGGGTGTTGGAGTAACATTATTATATTGTTGTCCTCTGATGGTGTGTAGTATTAATGACCAGGGTGTTGGAGTAACGTTATATTGTTGTCCTCTGATGATAGTGTGTAGTATTAATGACCAGGGTGTTGGAGTAACATTATATTGTTGTCCTCTGATGATGGTGTGTAGTATTAATGACCAGGGTGTTGGAGTAACATTATATTGTTGTCCTCTGATGATGGTGTGGAGTATTAATGCCTAGGGTGTTGGAGTAACATTATTATATTGTTGTCCTCTGATGGTGTGTAGTATTAATGACCAGGGTGTTGGAGTAACGTTATATTGTTGTCCTCTGATGATGGTGTGTAGTATTAATGACCAGGGTGTTGGAGTAACATTATATTGTTGTCCTCTGATGATGGTGTGGAGTATTAATGCCTAGGGTGTTGGAGTAACATTATATTGTTGTCCTCTGATGGTGGTGTGTAGTATTAGACCAGGGTGTTGGAGTAACATTATATTGTTGTCCTCTGATGATGGTGTGTAGTATTAATGACCAGGGTGTTGGAGTAACATTATATTGTTGTCCTCTGATGATGGTGTGTAGTATTAATGATCAGGGTGTTGGAGTAACATGATATTGTTGTCCTCTGATGGTGTGTAGTATTAATGACCAGGGTGTTGGAGTAACATTATATTGTTGTCCTCTGATGATGGTGTGTAGTATTAATGACCAGGGTGTTGGAGTAACATTATATTGTTGTCCTCTGATGATGGTGTGTAGTATTAATGACCAGGGTGTTGGAGTAACATTATATTGTTGTCCTCTGATGATGGTGTGTAGTATTAATGATCAGGGTGTTGGAGTAACATGATATTGTTGTCCTCTGATGGTGTGTAGTATTAATGACCAGGGTGTTGGAGTAACATTATATTGTTGTCCTCTGATGATGGTGTGTAGTATTAATGATCAGGGTGTTGGAGTAACATGATATTGTTGTCCTCTGATGGTGTGTAGTATTAATGACCAGGGTGTTGGAGTAACATTATATTGTTGTCCTCTGATGATGGTGTGTAGTATTAATGACCAGGGTGTTGGAGTAACATTATATTGTTGTCCTCTGATGATGGTGTGTAGTATTAATGACCAGGGTGTTGGAGTAACATTATATTGTTGTCCTCTGATGATGGTGTGTAGTATTAATGACCAAGGTGTTGGAGTAACATTATATTGTTGTCCTCTGATGGTGTGTAGTATTAATGACCAGGGTGTTGGAGTAACATTATATTGTTGTCCTCTGATGATGGTGTGTAGTATTAATGACCAGGGTGTTGGAGTAACATCCCACTGGGCACACACATCAATTCAACATCTATTCCATGTCGGTTTAATGTAATTTCATTGATATGACGTGGAAACAACGTTGATTCAACCAGTGTGTGCCCAGTGGGACTATATTGTTTTCCTGATGGCTTGTTGTTGTTGTTGTCGACAGGGAGCGTTGCCCTTCATGGTGAACGCCACAGCAGGAACCACCGTACTAGGGGCCTTCGACCCGCTGGAGGAGATAGCTGACATCTGTGAACGACACAATCTATGGATGCACGTAGATGTAAGTGGATCTTAATTAAAGCTCATTCTTTCATTCATTCATTTATCGATTTATCGATCCATCAATCCATTTGTCCATAGTTCATTAGTTTGTTTGTTCCATTAATCATTCACTCAATCACACTCTTCTCTGTCTGTTTGTCTGTCTGTTGTCTGTCCGTCCTGTAGGCATGTTGGGGAGGAGGAGCCTTGATGTCTAAGAAACACAGATACCTGCTACAGGGCATCCACAGGTAAGACAACAGGGATATCTGGAGGAGGTAGTAAGACAACAGGGATAAACTGTTCATAATAGCACATGGT